TTTGCTCCTTTGAAAATTCTCTGCTGGGTAGGAATTGAATTTAAATCTTTGTACGGAAAGACCTGGGGACAAAAAGGTTCCCTGCCCCTCTGCATGGTCTGGTTTCCCCCTGGGAAAGGGGGGGGCAAGGAGGAACGGGAAGGAAAGCTCTTTCCTAAAAGACCTTTGCAGCCATCCTGGAAATGGGAATCTTTGTCTTGGAGCCTCGCTCCAGGATTGTTTTCCTTTCACGTCATCTTGTCAAAAAGCAGAAGATGGGGAACGCACATTTGGGGTTTTTTGTCTAAAAAAGCAAATTCAAACCCAGCAGCCCACATTTGTGTGGCTGGAAACGGCGTTTTCTTGTCCCAAAGCTCCTTCTGAGCGGCCGATGGCTGCGAGCCGCGCGGCGTTGTCCCAAGCCTTTTCCAACTTCACCCAGTACAAATATATGGCTCAACAGGACATCGGGCTGGGTGCATAAGGCCTACAAGACCTCTCCTAGAAAAAATATCACAGAATCCCAAAATGGCAAGGGTTTGAAGGGACATCAGGAGACCATCCAGTCAAACCCCGCTGCTCAAGCAGGCTCACCCAGAGCAGGGGGCACAGAACAGCGTCCAGGCAGGCTTTGAATATCTCCAGAGAAGGAGACTCCACAACCCCCCTGGGAAGCCTGGTACAGTGCTCTCTCACCCTCAAAGCCAAGAAGTTCTTGCTCACGTTCAACTGGAACCTCACATGCTTCAGTGTGAGCCCATGGCCCCTTGTCCTGGCGCTGGGAACCTCTGAGAAGAGTCTGGCTCCGTCCTGGTGACCCCCACCCTTGAGATATTTGTATGTGTTGATGAGATCCCCTCTCAGCCTTCTCTTCTCCAGGCTAAACAAGCCCACCTCCCTCAGCCTTTCCTCGTACGAGAGATGCTCCAGTTCCCTCATCAGCTTTGTTGCCCTCCTCTGCATTCTCCCCAGTCTTTCCTCATTCTTCTTGAACTGGGGGAGCCAGAACTGGACACAGGACTCCAGGTGGGGTCTCACCCGGGCAAAGGAGAGGGGCAGGAGAACTTCCCACTCCCTGCTAGCCATGCTCCTCTTGATGCACCCCAGAATGCCATTGGCCTTCTTGGCAACAAGGGCACCCTGCTGGCTCACGGTAACCTTGTAATCCACCAGGACTGCCAGGTTCCTCTCAGCAGAGTAGCTTCCCAACCTGTACTGGTGCCTGGGGTTCAACCTCCCCAGGGGCAGCACCCAACACCTGCCCTTGTTGAACTTCATCAGGTTCCTCTCTGCCCAACTCTCCAGCCTGGCCAGGTCCCGCTGGATGGCAGCGCAGCCTCCAGTGGATCAGCTGCTCCTCCCAGTTTGGTGTCACAAACAAACTTGCTGAGGGTCCACTCTGTCCCCTCGGCCAGGTCATGGATGAATAACACATCATACATTAGACCCACGGCGGAGAAGGACGGTGGGAGATGTGGGGGGGTGTGCTGTGAGCCGCTCGGAGGGGGTTTTCTGGGTCTGGGTGAACCCAGCTGTGGTCGCCCCGTTGCTCCGCTTCCCTCGATAGAGTTGTCGTGGGAACAACCCCCGGGAACGATTTGATGCCGACTTTGAAACGGCAAAATGCCGCGGGCCAGCAGCGCCTGCCCATTGCCCTTCCCTCTGCTTCGTTTGGGTGGGAAATACGGGGCAGAGCTGGGGGGGGGGCACTGGGAAGCTGCTTAAAACCACCGGGGCCGCTCCACTGCTGCCAATTTTGGAAAGGAGAGGGATGCCGTTGCTCGGCTGGAACCTCTTGAAAATTCAG